TTTTTTCCTTGCATTTCTCGGCTCGAAACAGGCAGCGAAATAAACATGCTGAACTAAAATTTAAATAAGGGCATTTTATCGCCTTTTTATGTACCGCTCAAATGTGAACATCAACATCCGTTCCCCCGCGCATTCCCTTCTTCCCAAGGGGAGGGGATGTAGGAAATTGACGCCGTGTGTGGTTGATATTGGAGTGGGGCATTCTACACCATATGGGAGGGGTAGAAGGGATGTGACAAAGTTACCTCGTTATCATGCACGGTGATGCTAGGAAACCAGAAGAGACAGCTCTGTGGATCCAAACAGAGCGTTGAAAACTTTGTGATTTGTTTTGGAAGGAAATGTACAAGAAGTTTTTGTTGTGCAAGGTTGATCGCATGATTTATTAATGTATAAGCAATACTTTGGTAACAGTGGAAGTTCAAAGCGGCTGTTCGAGGGTGATTTTGTTTCTTTTCAATTACTCACTTTTGCCACAAGTTTTGCTCCGAGGGATACATAGTAATTGCTTTCGGTTAAATGAAGATAAACAAGTTTAATGCCGAGAAGTCCTTGACTCGGAAACCATGTAATTTAAACTGCCAGCGATTGGAAAAAATGCTGTAACGCTCGAGTAAACTCGTGAGTTTTTTAATTTTGAAGTTAGAGGTAAGTTCAAATGCCTAAAGTGGTTTTGTACAAACTCGATAGAAAATCAAATTGCTTAACTCAAATTGCTCAATATTATTCTCTTACCGTACATCATTGTCAGTGTTAAGTCGTCTCTGCTCTATATGACAATAAGCTATAGCAGTTCAGTCAGGTATTACGGAAAAACCGTTTTGCTGCCTGAAAGAAACACTGAGAAAAGCCGCCAGACGGTCTTCCAACATGGCGAACGGTTAATTGAAGTCACGTGACCGGACATACTATGCGAGCCGCGCTTTCTGTGCTTTTTACAGACCCTCGGCAAGACGCCAACCTAACCAGCGAACGGACCTGTTTGTCACATTCAGAACACGTGATAGGAGATAAAACTAACGCTAACACCAAACGGAACGAATACAGTGCTTGAGCGGACGACTGCGACTACCCACGTGCGAGTTTCTGAATTGTTTGGCGAGTTTCTCATGGAATTAAAGTGACTTTTGTTGAGGAATTTCTCCATTTTAAGTTAATTGTAATCTTGCAAGTGCTTGGTCAAGTGTACTCTTCTAGATGAATGCAATACAGTCCTCCATCCGATGTGTGCAATTGAGTTTACCCACGTCCGAAGTTCCTGCCTTGACGTGTGGGTTATTTTAGGGTCTCTTCGGTATCAGTCAGTCGATCTTCTTAAATCTCTTGAAAATCCGTAAAATTGTTTGCTTTTTACTTCCTAACTGATTCCTGATGTGCTTTGTCTAAAAACGAAAAAAACAAAAACAAAACAAAAGTTGAGAGGAAAAAAAGAAAATCAATCGCTTATGCTGGAGTATCCATGGACCACTTCTTGCGTGTTTCGGAGGAAATACCGTTGTCGACTCAGTAGCGGGCTGCACCATTTCATTATATGATAATTGCCTTATAATAAGACAGCTGTAACAGCTGGGGAGTTAAGATGTCTGTCTCCAGACTATGTATGATTTAAGGGCCTTTACTCTTCCCGCCGTTGCTTAGGGAACGATGAAGAACTGATCATATACGTGCAACGTTATTAAATTTAACAATTCCCCGATTTTGAGATGTGGCGTTAAGGGCGAGAAGTGGCCAGTTTGAGAACTGTTGTTTGAAGTTATGAACTGCTTGTGGCACTCTGCACGTTGATATCATGGTAAATGTACGAAACTCTTTTCTCTAACCTTAAAAAAACGTATTCTTAAAGACGAGTCAATGGCTGAAGGGGAAATTCATAGCAACACGAGGCTCTCTTTGAGTGTCGAAAAGTCGTTTGTCTTTCGTCTCGATTGGCCTTTGTTTTACCGAGTAAGTTCATAAGAAATTGCACAAAAAAGCGCCTCAAACGTCAATTAAAATCTTAATATAGAACGGACATGTCCAATTCTTCACGCCTTATAATTCCAAATGGGTAATTAAGCGACTCTAGAATTGACTATATTGGGAAGGTTCCTCAGCGGCAATCCGACTTGAGCTCTGTCAGTTTCGAACGATATAAAATTCTATCGTCGCGAGGCGTTGTCAAATTGCGTATTATAAAAACTAGTTTCGTCCGATCATCAAACAATTCGAACGGAGTCTCTCAATAAAAAAATACTCATTTTATGACAGAGTAATCTGACCGCAGAGCTCTGGAATAAGCTAGCCCAGTGCAGTTTGGAGTCCGTATTGGAAAGATCTACACAAAGTTGACTTTATCGCATAAAGGAATTTGTCCAAATTTTTGCTCAATATCTCTAAAATGACTCCAGATCTAAGAGGAGAGCATTTTATCTTCCATCGTTGGTCTTCAGGGACCCTTACATTTCTGACGGTATTTGTTGGAAGAACAGATTCTGGTTCCAATCCCCTGGCAGGATGGGTTTACTAATTTTCTTGAATTACTTGTCTGACTTAAAGCCGAGATTTAAGATGCTGATCAGTCAATCGACCAAGCAAAGGAAACCGGGAAATAAACAGGTTGAACGAAGTAGCTGAATAAAACTGACGGGGGCCACGTGTTGTTGCAAAATGTGTGGGCAATAAAAATGCGCAGTTTTAGTTTGTCTTTAGCTTAGTTTTTCAAATATTTTTGTCAAACAAGGGACGGAAGATAAGCTTGTGTTTAGATAATGCCTACCTGTTATTTATAAAGTCGTGAAAACACCTTTTATTGGATAGTTGTGATTGTCACTTCCTTTACTAAAATAATTTTGTGTGAAAAGCGAGGGCAAGTATGCAACGTTTGAATTTTTTCGCAATTGTTTATTTATAAAATGGACCTGTTTGTCACTTCTGGTGATTATGTAACAAGCGCTTTTTTTAGTCGAAATCTGCTGGTTTGACACGGAAGAAAGAAAAAACTGCCGCTTGGGAGGCAGAATATTTTCGGTAGAGGAAAAACAAGAGTACTTTCGGTGCGTGGGAACCTTGCGATGGCATTGTTTTGCAAACGTAGTGTGTTGTAAAGACTTTTGTCCTGAGCGGGTGTGTACAACAATGCAGGGAAACAAAACACACTTTGCAAACAAAGCCAAACACGTGCTCTGGAATATGGCGTTGTAATGCTTTATTTACAGTGCGCTTTATGAACTTCACAATGGCCCCGTTGAGTGATCACAATGTATCACGTCCGATTTTCTAGTAGACCATTCCAAAAGTCGTTTGTTTATTTTTCACAGCCAATTAGCTCAAATCGTTCTCACGGCCCGAGTTGAAGTCATTCCAAGTGAGCTTTGGAATATGGAAAAAGAATCTACGCTTGACATTAATTTGTGAAGTGTCACTAATTCGCCTAGCAGACTTATAGTCTCGATCGCTAAATGCCTTTTATGCGTGGTAATTGGCTCGGCATACAGCTTTTATTTCACGGGGGTGCCGTTTTTTCTCGCGCGAGTTTGTCATGAATGCGCACTTTAGCTGTTGGCTTCCCTGTTCTCGCGCTATTTGCATAACGCATGCTGGGATGGTTTTGTCTTTGACAGCAAGCGACCAATGACAGGGCTTCGTTCTCACGCTTTCTGTCTCAGCTGCCAGCGAAAGCCAAAATACCATTCATCCAACAAAAATGCAGGCTCTTTTTAAACAAAATGTGATGATAATAAGCTGGGGTTGGGAACTCAGAGCCAAGGATTTTCCCACGGCTGGGAAGGTAAATAAAAACGCCGTGTACGCCGAAGTTACGTTCATTTGTCACTCTGGTTAGTTGCCAGAGGATATCGAAAGAAACATTTTAAAACATTCGACTCGGAAAATCGTAGGAAAAGAAAAACTAAAATAGCGATGGTTCAGGAATCTACAAAGTTAGAAAAAGAACATGATTCGGAAAGCCGCAAGGTATCCTTGTGCAATTTTTTCCTCTGGATTTTTAAAGTGTTTTCGTGTACCATTACTGACTAGTCAGTGTGGCTCTTTTTTTCCGAGGCAGCTCTTTGAACTCGCGCCGTTAAAATGTTCATCTCAATTTGAAAGTCACAGTGCTGGTGAAGTGCAAGTCGGCCCTCATAAGCGTATTTGATAATTTTGAAGGTTAAAGGCAAAAATATATTGATGTTTTGTTTTTTTTTTCAGTGGTCTAAGCCAATCATGGAGAAGAGAAGACGGGAACGGATCAACCGAAGTCTAGAAGAACTGAAGAGACTTGTCCTTGAAGCGCAGAATAGAGATGTAAGTATACTGTGCTGTGTCAGCAAAAAAATCCTTGTAATAATAACAGGACAAGTGTTCACTAAATGTCGCGTTTGTTGAATGAAACCTTTTGTTTAAGCCCCGCTTACAAGTTTAGAAGACATGTTAAGGTTACTATCGCTAAGGGCATTGTTTATTGTCTGTGAATGTTAGGAGTAGCTGGTAGTACATCGGAGCTGAACTACCTCGCTTATTGCACGCAGGGTCTGATATCATGAGCTTAGACGTGCTGTCGCTTTTCTTTGAGCTTATGCAAACAAGTGTTATTTGGACTGTATTTAATATCCATAGCATGTCACGAAAAAAGGACATGAATTGTCATCAGCGAGTTAATGAAATTAGACAAGTTATTGATCACGTTAGCCTTTCACGGTTGAAGTGATCGGCCCCTTAAACTAGAATCATTTTAATAGAAGCTTGCGATTTGATTCGGTTGTTAATTGCCCGTGGAGGATCCTGCTCCAGTGGGTTAAGAAGCTTTTTCAGGCCACTAACGTGTTTCATTTCTGCAGAGTTCTCGGTACACTAAGCTGGAAAAGGCAGACATACTGGAGATGACTGTACGACATCTTCGAAGTTTGCGACATCACCAGCGAACAGGTAACCCATCGCTCGACAGCGCTAATGACAAGTTAATATACAAGCAATCAATGTCAGACTGTGCAAGCGTTGTTTAAATCGCTCAGTCGTTAGACGTTTATAAGAAGAACACGTCACTAGACGTGGCAGGTGCATGAGCTGACATCTGGAAGAAGCTTTTTACTTCTTTAATCGCCTGTCGATTAGTTATTGAACTGAATGAAAAAACGTAAGGGTCGTTATTATACTTATAACATTAGGGCCGCAACGCCGCCGCCTCCGGCAGTCTTCGTACGGAAAATATATATATTTTTTTATGTTATATACAAACTCCAAAACTTTCGCCAAGAACATTGAAAGGAACAATAAGGATACGATTGATTATCCGTTGTGGTTATAGTCATTGTAGTTAATACTATATGCAGATTCATTACTTTATTTGTACAAGTTGATAACCGTTTTGTAGGTGGTGGAGTGTAGTGGCAGACGAGTGCATTATCTTGGGCTATTTTTAATAGGCTTAAGTTTTGACTTATTGTTCGTTTGTCTTGAGCGGATGTTAATCGCAGCGGATGTTAATTCGAGTGAAAACCTTTTAGTACTCGAATTTGTTTTGGTATATAATTGTATTTGGGATTTTTAGGCAGCGTTGTTTATCATATAACTTGGCATTAATGAACTAATATCTATCCTGTCTGTGAAGAAGTCGCTAGTTTGATTTGTTTGCAATGTCATTTTGTGTCAGTTGTAGTTATTTTTGTCTGCTAAAACCTTTATCTCAAACAAAGAGAAAATGGATTAACACTCCTCAAAGCAAACAAAAGAGGTACTAGTCATGAAAGAACGAAAAAATGTGATTGTGTCAGTGACAACCTTTGCTGCAAAAACTCAAGGCAAAGAAAACGAAAGAGGATACGCTCGGTGTCTCGGCGAATTCAATTTTTCCATACATAAGTAGATGGAATGAAACCTGAAACACTGACGAGCGAGAGTGCTCAAAATTAGGATTTAACCATTGAACTTGTACACAATTTATTGTGAAAAATAAAGGTACATTCACATTCACAATTGTGGCTCGAGGGTGGAAAAAAAATCCGTGTGAAAAGAGGAGCGTCACCCAGTTTTTTTAAATGCAATTAGCTAGAGGAAAATGTTTTATTGACTTGATTAGCTGACGTTTTATTATTATTTTTATTTTTTTACACAGTGGTGAGTAGTGCCGACCCACACGTTCTACTGAAGTACCGCACGGGCTACAGCGCATGCGTGGCTGAAGTGTCCAAGAGTGTGATAGGGGACGAGCGTTTGGATCCCGACATCAAAACACGAATCCTGTCACATCTTGCCGGCTGTCATGGATCTCAGCGAGCGGGCAACGGCATGGCGCTACAGTCCACTTCGAGAAACCCTACGTCGATTCATTTCGGCACTACAGGGGACTTTGCAGGGAAGAAGCAAAGGCGACTGATACCTAGAGACACTCAAGAATCGCGCTCCTCGCAAGCGCGGGCCAGTATTTCTCCGTACATGGTTCAAGCCCATCGAGTCCTCCCTTCGACAGGGGCCATCCCGCTTCACTATGTTCCTGTTTTAAGTACCGACTCTGCGACCTCTTCAGGAATGCACCATGCTCTGGTCCCAAGTGGGCCCTCTGCAGGTTTACACCTAACAGACCCCTTGTGGCGACCTTGGTGATCAACAGAGGTTGAGAATATTTAAATGGGAGGCCTTTGAGAATATAATGAAAGGAATAAAGTATTTTTAAAAGAGTAGCGTTGATTACACAGTCCACATTTCGAAAATAAGTATCAGTGTAAGCTAAGTAGTTCTTTTGTTGAAGGTCAGTAGCTCCCAAGCCCATCTGCGTATGCTTTGATCTGCCAGCTCTTGTTTAAAAGGGGTCTCGTCTGGCCATTCTGTAAATACCTAGTTGTCAATCATTTAAGTGCCTTGGAGCTTGATTTGTCTGTCACATTGTTCAGTGAATTCATTTGAGAATTGTCCAACGGTTGTCGTCTTTACAGCTTTGTAGGTTTTAGGCGCAAAACCGTATCTAGATTTTAGCCCGACCTTTACGAAGATGAAACAAAGTTTGAGAGCCTTTTTGGTGCCAATATTTTGGGACAGAAAGGCGAAAGTACAGTAGATGAGCCTTCAGTAGCGGCATGAATAGTATAGAGCATTGTTATATACAATTGTAAATACACAAATTAAGGACAGTTAACGTTCTTAGAGATTTATTGTAAGTATGAATAAATGATTCTAACTAAAAAATAAACTTGTTTTGACATACGGAAAAGAGTTTTTCTTTGTTTGTCAAAGTAACAACAAAATCCTTACCCCTTCAATAGTGTTGTCTCGTGTAGCTACTGGTGTTTCGAATCACGAGGAGAAAATGAAGGAAATTTGAACATTTCGTCTGCCAAGAACCTACAACAGTGTGTTACTGTGAAACTCGTATTTCCCACGCGCAAGAGATTAAAGAAAGAATAGCACACTAAAGGGGCTTGGACTGATCGTAGATCATCGTAGAACTGACTGAAATATCACAATAAGGGCTTAACACTGTAAAACGTTAGGGACTCTGGGCGCTTCCTGGAAGAGAAAAACCTGGAGGCGAGGGTGATTGTTTGCTACTTCAGTTAGAAATTTAATACTAGGGGGTAGGGGTGGTAAACCTGCGATAGACACGCATCTCTTTATGGGGAGGGGAGGAGACACGAATACTCCAAGTAGCTTAACGTGACAGAAACTGCGAGGTAAACTCTGGCTACATTGGCCATTTGGCCTGACGCAGACTTGAACTTAAGCCCGTTATACAGGTTAAAACTTGATGAGGACTGGTTCGTCTTTAAGTTACAAAACAGATAAGTCAGTCAATACTGGCGAATCCGTTTCAAATCTTTCGGTTTCTTCGAGAGGTTTTCCAGAAATGTCGAATGACGACCCTGGACCAGTTTTCGGTTTAGCGACGTCCTACAGATTACTGTGTCACTTCGTTTTTCTAACCAAACGCCTTGAAGAGCACTTGAAACCAGTCATGTTTCGTCGTTTTCTAATTCCCCACGGTGCGCGCCCTTCTAGTTTGTGTCAATGGGTGTCATATTCCCAGTAGTTTTGAGTTCTATTTTCAGAGGATGTTTTACCGCTCCTGATGAATTCATCAGGCGAAGTCTCAGCTCTCTGATTTCCTTGTCTTTCTGTATGAGAAATAAAATTAAAAAACTGTCATTTAAAGCAAATTTCTATTCCGGAATGTTCAGGATAGAAAGTATGTTTGTTTTCTCGTGGGTTGATCCTGTCACAGCAAGCACCGACCATTGAAATCCTGAAACAACAAGGCCCGGTCCAAACGTCCAGCTGTACATGAGCTATTAGGTTCATGTAACGTCCAGCTGTACATGCGCTATTAGGTTCATGTAACGTTTAACATATGAATCAGTACTAGTTACGACCGACACATTTGTATTTGGTTCGACACTGTCGTTCTATTCGACTGAGGCAGTTGAATAGATCGGGAAAAGTTCGACTTCGATTCAGACGAGGAACTTGACATGAGCCGAATATAATGCACACATTACGGATCCACAGTATGTATTATATTTTACATGAGGTCACGCTACGGCAGCCATTTTGGTGCCCCAAAGCAACGAAATGGCGGCCGATATGTTGGTCCCAAACGAAGTTGAGAGTTGATCAACTCTTATGCAAACACTTTCTTTTGCATGGCCGTTGTCCACGTGAGTGGAAACGTCCTATAGTCAGCCTACTTGTTAATGACTGACTTTCACTCAGTGAGGAGCGTCACGTCGCTGGGTAAACAACTTCCCAGACAACTATGACTGTGGGCTCAATCTGCAGCTAATGGCCCTTGTTGTCTTGACTCTGATCAGTGATCACATCGATTTTCACCAGTGTCAATATTGTTACAAAGCATCCTTGCTGTACAAACCGGGTACAAACAAAATCGTTTCTTACGTCGTTAAGTTTTCTCTTCAAATCTATGATTTGTCGCTCTGTATCGATATCAACTGTTGACATTGTGCCGTTTGTCTCCAGAAACAAAGCACCGGAAGTAAACGTTCGACACAACTGTTCCCCAGACTGCAGAATTCTTTTCATCTCCAGCACCTGCAAATGTAAATATACAGCTAAACAAAAACATTTACAAGTCTAGAGTACGAACTAATGTAGGTAAACAATCAATGTCTTATATAGCAATCGACCGCTGGAAAGATCTTGTGTTTGCATTTTCGAAGCAAATAAAACGTTTTATACCATGCCATAGAACATACAGCCAATCAGAATGCAGGAAAGCTGTTGTATATTCGACGGTATTGCATCCCACCTTCCCATCATGCGCCGCGCGTATGTTGCACTGATTGATCTGGCCACTGTATTTTCTACGGTAGGGTATAAAATATATAGTTATGAAACGCTCTCTCGTAGTATAAAGGCTCGTGTGTTTACCGATAAAAATAATACAAGTGACTGGTGGGCGTTCCATAGTATAACATGGTGTGCCATTTCTAGATGTAAAATTATCTAATTAGAGCGGTTTTCAATTGAGTGTCGAAAGTAATTAGACAATTACTTTGGTTTTGGTTTTGGTTTTACTTCGGTTTGAGATTGGCTGAGTGGTCTAATTGGTAAGTAATTGGTTTGGTTTTGGTTTTACGACACTCAATTGAAAACCGCTCTATGATATTAATGAGCCTAATGAAAAATCACTTAATTACTAGTTAGAAACGAGAAAAAAAAACTGTTACTAAGAAGTAATTGAACTCTCTCAAATGCGGAGATAAGCACAAAACACAAAGGCAATTCTGAATACAAACTCATGATAGAAGAAAGATAGAACATAGATACCTTTGGTATAAACACAAGGCATAGAGTGATAGAAGTGCAGATAATAATACAAACAGATACAATGGAAAACGAGGCGTCAGGCTGCTCCCTCATGGCTAACGATATAGGCGCACCAATAACGCACAGGATAAACACATTGTACACAGACATCCCAATGTACCTGCAAAACAAGACTACATTTACCTTATGTCAGATGATCACTGCACCCTTTGGAACCCAATAACACGGCAAGTTTAGGTTTCTTTCCAAAGTTTATTGTAAAACTCGAGAAAACATTTTATTGGCCTGAGTGGTTCCTTCTGACATCTTAAGTGATCACGTGCTGGAGCGCTTAGCTTGTATTTGTGTCCCGTGTTTCTTAAGCCCCGTCCACACTATGCTAGAGGAATTTGAAAAGCGAGGTTCACTCTAGATCTGAAAACGCATCAAATGTTTTCGTCCACAGTGCGCCGGGCGAACTAAAAAACGCAACATTCACCGGCTATTTTGGATTTGTGCTTGAGCAAAACTCCGACAGGGAAGTCACATGATTCTCGCGGCGCCATCGTTTTCGAAAAGCCGGCGTTTTCAAATTTCTCCGGTTTGAAGAGCGAAAAACTTCGTTTTTGTGTCGGAATAATGTGGACGGTAGGAAACGCAGAAATAAAGCTGCGTTTTCAACTTTCTCTAACGCCATGACTGTGGAAGCTTAAGGGGCCTTAGTATATTTAGTAGTGCATGAGTCTTTTCATAATTCTGTGCAGTACACTCACTCACTCATGCCCTTTACGCCTAAGTGGCATGTAGGGCAGCAATATGTTCCCTCCACATCTGTCGGTCCCTTGCCATAAACTTGATGCCTTCCCAGTTCTTCCCCATCTCCTTGATTTCCTTCTCCACCGTCTGCCGCCATGTGATCTTAGGGCGGCCCCTCTTGCGTTTTCCTTCTGGCGTCCAATGCAAAGCAGTTTTCGCAATTGAAGCTTCTTGGCGAGCGACGTGGCCAATCCACCTCCAACGTCTCCTCATCAGGATGGTAGCCATTGGTTCAGTTCCACACCGTTCAAAGAGATCATTATTCGAGATGACATTAGACCAAAAGATGCGTAGGATACGCCGAAGGCTCTTGGTGTGAAATGTAGAGGGGTTTGATGAATCCTTCTCCGTTAAGCGCCAACAATCTGAACCATACAGGAGAGTTGTGAGGACGCAGCTGTGATAGAGATTCAGCTTGGTACGAATACTCTAAGTGGAGGAGCGCCACACCTTATTCATCATGTTGAGCGAGTTTCTGGCCTTGTTGAGACGGCTCTGAATGTCCAGGTCAGTTTCTCCATCTCTACTGATGATGCTGCCGAGATAGGTAACTCTGTCTGTGTAAGGAAGTTCTTCGTTATCAATCTGGACTGGTCGTGTGTTGGTAGTATTCAGCGCCATAATTTCGGTCTTTTTGCTGCTGATGTTAAGGCCAACTTGCTTTGCAAAGGTGTTAAGGCGTTGCGTCTTCTCTTGAATGCGCTTGTGGGTGCGTGATAGTAAGGCAAGATCATCAGCATAATCCAGGTCTTCCAAGTACGAAAAAGGTGTCCATCTAATGCCCCTGATCTGATCCTCAGTGGTACGCCGCATGATCCAGTCCACAACAAGGTTGAAAAGTAATGTGGACATGACACACCCCTGCCTGA